GGACTATTCTACTTTTTAAAATTTAAATACATAACATTATAAATTGGAAAATGTTGATTTTTTTTTCCAAAAATCTTGACGTCTAAGGTGAAAACTCGACACGGATGCATAAACCGTAAACGGGGCGAAACTACAATTTTACTATTGTAAAATTTGGAGATTGCGTCATTTCATTGTTCGTGACAAATTTTGGTGAGTGTAATTTGATAATACAATTTGAAATGTAAATTTTGTCATTCGGGAACATTATGTATTAAATCGTTAAGATGTTCAAGAACTTTGTTCACTTATTCGTTGTAAAGTCCAATGGTCGAAATGGGTTAGTTCTTCGTTTAGTTTCAGATCAACTCTAACGAATATCGGTTTATATTAGATAAATCGCTTAAAGCCGATATTGGCCTGAGTGTGCTTTGGTCTGTAGATCAAACAAGTTCTCAGGCGACGAAAAATTGCATGTGGAGGGAGACTTCGGATTACAAATCGTGCCAAGAAAGACATATTTGGGAGAGATGGATTTTCAGGTGCTTGACTAGCGGTAATTTTAAATTGTTTGCTGTCGTTCGCTTAGTGAAGAACACAATTTCATTAAAATGATAATTATAAAATTATCATAATCACTATTGGTGTTAATTAACACAAAATGGCGCGCAAGTTAGCAGTTGATTTCGTTAATAAATTCATAGAAACCTATATGGGATTTTTTCATGCCTTAGAAAATTAAAAAGTAAAAAATACAATAACAAAAATTTTAAAATGCGGTTTACGAAAAATTAGTTGACCTGTGCAAAGAAGAAAATTTTGGAAACGCTGACAAATATGATATCTTAAAAAAAATAACACTTGAAGAAGTGCAAAATACTCTGTCAGTGTGCAGTGCGCAAAGAGTTAACTGTGCAGATAGATCTAGCCGAAAATCCGAAAACCAAATCGCCGTGTGTAACGGAAGTAATAAATCATCCCATGGGTTGAAGAACGTTGGGTCAGTGCAGTGATATCGGTGTTATATCCCGAGAGGGGCCCAATACACCCAATAAAATCGAACAGACAAAATAAAGCTTCAAACATAATTATTTTTATACTAAAATTCTGAAGTTTATAAACTGCACATTTTATTTATTTATTTATTTATTTATTTATTTTATCTTGTTTTCGAACTATAATAAACATTTCAAACAATGTCTGTAACTTATTTTAATGTAAATTATATTCATGTGGTTAACAAAATCAGATGTAATATTAGTGTGATTTTGACCTTATTCTAGATTTTATTACAACAGAACGGCGTATCCTTTTTAAATTTTAGAAGTTACGGAAACTAGTTCAAGAAACAATTAGTTATCTCGTATTTTTGGAACAAAATCTACCAAAATATCCGACAACAGCAATTGTTTTTCATAGAAACAAACAGTCTTCAAAGCAGCCTTTAACAACTCGATATTACAAACATGCCTCTTAAGTTTATGTCATTCTGTTATTTACTTTGAACATATATTTTCATTTTGTGTTAATATTTTTTAACACCACGAATCTAAATTTTAATTAAAATCTTGTTTTACTTTAATTTCGTAAAACTAAACAATTATACCAGTTTAAAAACATAAAAACCCTTGGAAAGTTTCTGTCAGTCTTCAGATATAGTCAAATAAAAATATGCGTCAAATTCATTTAAATTCAATTCTTTCTTATCACGTTACAACGCGTTGTTTCATATTTTTTATGTCAAGTATATTTTCATATTTTGTACATATATGTTTATACACATTACTGTTTACGGAACAATGTTAATTATGGATTAATGGATAACTCCTCGTATAAGAGCAGAGTGAAGGGTGTTTGCCTTTGCTAATGTTTGATGGCGCCATCTGATTTAGAGTAAAATAAACCTAATACGTTGGCTCACTGTAGTGAAAATGCGCGTTGACGAAAAATTTGTCTGCCCCCTGGATTCCTTGTCCTAAAGCTCACTATTTAGGCGAAGTAAATTCGTATTAGGTTGTCCAACTATAATATACTTAAACGATGGTAGTAGGTATGCTTTTTCGAAAAGGCGGAACATTGCTAGTGCAACTCGGTTTAAGGCGAGCGGCACACTCGCGAAAACTTATTTTTATCAATGTTTACGAAGCAATTTTGTGAGTTCAGCAACCTAAACGGTGGCAATTGTGTCATTTAAATGTTTTATCAGTGTGGAACAATAACCTCGGTATGAAAGAATACCGAAACGACAGTTTTAGTGTCCACATCGGAGTCCTACTTTCCACAAACATAGTCGTGTAGTTATCGCCTAATATTTACATACGGAATAGCACGAATGTTATTATTATCTTTCCAACAATGAATAATTATGAGGATACAAACGGCATGTATTGTCGTCGCATGAAACATTTATGAAGACATCCAATTTTAATAATACATGGAGTTTCTAATAATTCCGTCGCGCCTTGTCGGATCCGAATGTAGCTCGTTTTTCGATACTTATTCGTTATCGAGGCAGCCATTACAGGTAATAATAATTACACCAACACCGTCCGACTCCTGAGTTTCCTTTAAAGCGATCACCTTGTTCGTTTGCTTACCATTGTCATGTTAATGCTGACCCTTCGATTACAATACAAACATGTCTGCCGTTCGATATTTCAAATATGGCCGATTTTCCCAATCAGCTAAAAATTTGCGTCGCAGCCGAGCTCCGCATACTAAAGCCGCGTTTAAAAGAAGAAAACGCTTCCGTTCAGGATGTGCTAATTCCAAAATGGCGCCGGTGAAAACTTATCGCTTTAGTTATTGTTTCGGTAGAAAGCCGGCGTAAAAATTTAAACAAATACGTCCGCGGAATTTTTATCGCTCATTTTAGATTCGTTTGCGCTCACCTGCTCGATGGCGGTTCTTGAAAATTTGAATGAGCTAGCAATAAGCGAGCTACGTGGAGGTTTCGCGGCAAAGTCCACGGACACCGCCGGCGTGGAAACTGCACTTAATTAATTTTATTTCGATTTCGAAGGCCGGGACTTTTCTCGAGATCTTTCATCGCTCGACAAATGCTTATTTGAATTTAAAAATAATGAGGCGGTCTAGCGCATAAGTTAGGGAAGAGCGAACAATACGTGGATGTCATTCGTCGGTTCGTTTTCTTGATGCTTTTACGCACTTACCTGACACGTGCAGTGACGGCTCGTCGTAAAATTTCATTAATTTGTTTTTGCTTTTTTACCGATAAAGCGTGCTCAAGGTGAGGCTAGATGCACTAAAATGGAATTATGTCGTTAGGGTAATGAGGAAAAAGTAAGGGGCGACGTCGGGACCCTTGTCGACTTCCTCAAAGCAAATTATTCCCCATTGTCGCTGTCCACTTTATTAAAAACCACAATAGAAAATTGATACTCGGGCGACCTTCCTGTGCCTGGGTTAGTTCCGAGGCATATTGAGAAGCCATTATATTTAGTGCGTAATTAGCGTAACAAAAACAGCCACCTATATTTAGTCGGGTCGTCATTATACACCCAAAACGTGTTATTTTCGGCTTAAAAAAATTTTGACATACCGATAGAGCTAGTCATAACAGTTGCTAATTATCCAGAAAGACACCACATTTTGTAAAGAGTTTATTTAAAAAATGTAACAAATCGAAAATTTGTACTTGAATCAGACTATCGTGTTTTTTAGCATCTGCTGAGTTCGGGATCGTCGCATGGACCTTCGCCGGCACAGAGAGTACCTTTCGGGCGGCAGATGGAGATGCCCATGGTCCATCGCAACCCGTCGATGCCTACCATGCGTTCTCTGGAAGAGCTTCGTCGAAGCGGTAAATCTCAGTAGACTCACTCCATCTAACAAAAGAAACAGAATTATTAGATCTGTTACTGTAATTAGCAAAAGTGCATACTTCGTGTCTCTCCGTCTGCTGTTGTACGTAACGAGTTATAATTTGTGTTGCAACGTAGACAATAGTTTCGATATGGTGAATATACAAATCTGTAAAATGTGGACTCAGTGAATTGGAAATGTGTATTTATCATGCTGATGCATTTCCGATGTTTGAATAAATCGTCGCAAAAATGCAATGTTTGTTCTACGGTTGAGTTAATTATATCAAAATATGCATTATTCGGAGGGACACGGGTATGAGCTTTTGTTGGGACACTTAAAATTATCATTTCTATAATTATGTATAGGATATAAATATATGCTGAATTCGTTTTGAAGGGTGTTTATGATTGGTTAGTAACTTAGTTGGGTTAGTATTTAGTTGAGATTTTCAGTGTTGGCACTGGAAACTCGAAGGGATGTGTTTACGTGTGGGGGAATCCGGGGCAGATTTCTGGATATTGAAAGACAGGTGGACACTCACGATTTTTACTCCACCTACGGCTGACATACAAACGCTATTTTTAAAAGTCTCAGTTTGTCGTTAGCGTAGTATTATTAAGCGAGCGTGTAATGACGGCGATTACTTATGCGGATGAAGTTGGCCCACGACTCGAGTCGCCATTACACACTTATTTTACGGCAATTAGTTCTAAATAAGAAGTGTGAGTGACCACATTGACTTTCAAGGTGTTGAATCTGCGACGGAACGAGCCCATCGGAGGTGCTGTCGGGGTTAGAGTATTAGCTAGCTAGTGTTAGTCAGATGAGAACCACTTACTGTAGATGAAGACATTTACATTAGTAGACACAGACAGAAGCCACACGCCACGGCACTTGCTGGACCGCGCCAGAAAAACACAGTAGTACTGGTAGACACTAGGTGGTATTACAACAGCACTAAATAACAGCTGCGGTAAAATGCTACTACAGTTAACGTGGTAAAGACAACCTACCACCAAGCAGACAGGTTTTAATTGGCTTGTTATGGATAAATAAGCAATAAGTGTGTCGAGTAGGGTTAGAGGACACATTCCATTCTGGATAGAAGCGGTGTTAGCCGACCGTCTATGGACCTGTCTGTTTGGTTTGGGCGTGAGTGTAAGACCCTGCATATTAAAGACATCGGTCGGGTGTTTGGTCTAACTTTGGTTTAATCAACAATAGAAAATAAAGGTACAATTCATCAATACATGCTCATATAAATAAATGATAATATAAAGTAGACTCAGAACTAAACGAAATAATCACTCAACATTTACATTTATGGCCTAGACGATAGAACTAAACAACAGAGGATGTCTACGCGCGTACGCCACGAAACACAACTTACAAAACCTATCGAACCAAAAACATGACAAAAGAAGAAAAACGTAACACTTATTGTTGCCGAACATCCTCGTCATTCGTCATATACATAATCATTTATCAATTTACAAGCGGCGGGGCCGCGGTTAACTAGTAAAAATATCTCACAGTTCGTATAAATAGCAGCTAGATGATATCCTGAGATGGGCACAAGACACTGGCACTGTGCTGTGGTGTACTGGTACATGTACGAGTACGAATCGACTGGCTGTCTCTTTGGCTAGTAGGGCTTGGATGCGTCTTTGGCCCTCTTCAGCTGCACCTTGAGCCGCTTGGTGCCGATCTGGAACCCGTTCATCGCGGCGATGGCCTGCTGCGCGGACGACGCGTTGTCGAACGACACGAAACCGAAACACTTCGACAGATTCGTTTGTTTGTCTATGAACACCTTGGCAGAGATCACAGGACCGAACGGCAGGAACGTCGATGCCAAGTCCGTATCAGTAAACTCTTGCGGCAGGTGATAGATGAACAAATTGCAGCCGTCCGGACCTGCAACAAAACGCACTATGCACACCGGGGCTCCTCGAAACCGCAACCTCGAAATTTTTTACGAAAACGACCAACCTGACTTCGTTTTTACAACACAAACAATCTCCAGACCCCAAACCAGTTACTACGATTACACTAGTTTACAAGGTTTTATATCCAAAGACAAAAATAGTTGAATTCAAAAGATTTGGGTTCGGGAAATTCAAATCTGAAAGCAGAAAAAATCTATCACGTCAGGTTTTGTAACTTTTTTATTTTTAAAATATATATGAACATATAGTTCTTTGGGCAAATTTGTATCATTTTAAAATATCATTTACGTAAATAAATAACATGAGTGTCATTTTTTCAAGCTACTAGATTGTCATCAATGTTTTTATTTAAAATTTTTCAAATATTGATTTTAGAATAATTGGTTGCTCTTGATTTGAAGTGATAATAAAAATGTGAGGTTGGCCTCACAAAGATCTTTTAAAATGATACAAATTTGCTCAAAGAAATACAGGTTTATCTGAATAAAGAAGTTACAGGGGTTGTATCAAATAAAAACAACACCCAGTATATATTATAAATATTATGACTGAAAATTAAAAATGATTAACACTAGCGTTTCTTTTATTGACAGCACTGTCAGTTTCCATTATAATAGACCAATAGTAACACATTTTCATCCCAAAAACCTTGATACCTTCTTTTTAAGCATATTTGAACAGGTCCTCCCGCTTTAGGTACTATAATTTTCCCACAAACGTAACAAAACTGATTTGCACGTACTTTGCACGATCTCGAAGACATTTTTTATGCGACAGTGGTGCATTAACATGGATCAGTTTAACACGAAGGTGAAGGTAAAAGCAAAGTTCATTATTTTGGATTTATGAAAAAACCTGACGTGATAAGGATTACACAGGCCTGCGATGGTTTTCCCCCAACAAAATCAAGTAGTAATTTCGGTCAGGCGCGGATACAGGATTTCGTTTAGGGGGGTGCAATTTTTGTGAGATTTTACCTATCTCCCAGAAATTCGTTCTAAACAAAAAATTTATAAAATTTTAACTAGTGTACTCTTTTTCACATAACATGGGTGACATTTGGTTGTTTTCGTTACACGTATAGTGTATAGTAGAACCTCGATAATCCGAATTAATTGGGAAAAAGGTCTGTTCGGATTAACGATTTGTTCGGATCAGCGATTTTCCCAAAAATCTGAAAGGAAATTGAATAACAACTTCATACACAGTTGAAAGCAAACTTCAAGAAATAAACCTTAATTTTATTAAACAAAATTAAAGAATTCTTAAGCAACAATGGATAATAGATACATAAACACCCTATCTTTTTGGAATCAACACGCCGGGATCTATACCCTGAATTTTTTCAGAATTTTTAGACGAATTTTTCAAAAATGAAATTTTCCATTATGTATTCTCGACGATTTTCGAAATTTAACTAAATAATTTTCTTGTAAATTTTGGGCCTCAGAAGTCACTTCTGGCGTCATTCCTTCGATAACTTAAACCACTTTTCCAGATTCGTACAGTTGAAATACTTATAGCAATTTTTAAAAATTTCGAAAAATTCGAATTTCACATCGAATTTTCGAAAATATTGCTCGGTTGCCATTAACATGCTATATTTTTGGAATCAGCACGTCGGGATATACATACCTATATCCCTGAATTTTTTCAGAATTTTTAGGAAACTTTTTCAAAAATGAAATGTTCCTCATGCAAATTTCGACCCATTTTCGACGATTTTCGAAATTTAACTACCTAAATACCTTTTCTTGTAGATTTCTTCGATAACTTCAACATTTTTTCCAGATTTAGTTAATTAATTCAGTGCATTGAAATATGGCAATTTTTAAAAATTTCAAAATATTCCATACAACATATATAGAAAGATCTTGCGTCATTTTTGCAAGTAGGTGCGTGTTTTCAAGTTCAGTTCGGATTGCAGAGTTTTTGTTCGGATTAAAGAAGCGTCGACTTCAAATAGCCTCTGTTCGGATTACTGGATGTTCGGATAATCGTGAATTCGGATTATAGAGGTTGTAGGTACTGTATTTACAAAATGAAATGCGATTTCAAAATTTTGAAATTGGTCAAAATAAAGTACCTCGGTCGTGTGTCAGGGGGGGGGCAATTGCACCCATTACCCCCCCCCCTGGATCCGCGCCTGATTTCGGTAGGTCTTAGATACTCATGTATAAAAAAAAATTGCAAAAATTTCTATCACGTACAGTTTCTGCCAAAAATATTTTTTTCAGTTTTGTTCTTATTACTATAAAAATTAACTTCTAGATTTTGTGGCAATGATATGTATGGATAATGATGTTGATATTTCATTTCATGTTCAGCTTAGTAAGAGTTATTTGTGTCGACTATGCGCTTACTACCCTGAATTTAAACAAAAATTACTGATGTTTTCTCGGAAATGGGTTAATTCTTCAGATAACTTCTGTTACATTTGTAGAAGTTATTTAATCAAAAAACAACAATAAATAATTTCTGAATTTATCGAACAACTATGCGAAAGTTATTTTAAAGTTAATATAAAAAACCAAGACAAAAAATAAAATGTGTTCATGCACCTCGCAGATGATCAAAAGGAAAAAGAAATCTTTAAGTTTGCTGACACCAATGATTTGGATGGAGCCACAAAATCATACAGACGATTGTTACTTTTCCTGTTCAAATATAAAAAGATATAATGCGAAAAACGTAACAGCAATAACATATCCTATCGTGAATACAAGAGAAAACGCTTAAATCAGAGGTTTGAAGAAAGAAAAAAGAAGCTTCTTGATTTATTTGTTTTTTTAACTCTTGTTTATAACTAATTTAGTTCATTTAATAAATAAACATTCAATTTTATATTCTTTATATTTTATTTTTTCATAAAAATTGTTTGAAAAACTATGAACATTTAGGCCTACATAAAAATAAATCTCGATGTGCTACAAAAAAACTAGAGTTATATTTCGCAGGCCTGTGTTATCCGTTTTTGGATTTATTATCAGTAAGTAATTCAGAAGTAAAAATTATTTTTTTTATTTTTGGATATGAAAAAAAGTTTCATTTTGTAAACTAGTGTTATTTGCGAACACCGCAATCACTACATTCGCTCCTTTGTGGTTCGCGAATTTACCGATTCTATTTATCTCTATTTAACGAAGAGTTAAACTCTTCTGTGAATTGCTAAAACGCCATTACCGTCCTTCACGGCTATCTTGAATGTTAAATTTGCAACTACCGCATTCACCGAAATTTAGTGTGGACCTCTGGAAATCGATTGTAAACTACAAATTGCTACCATGTTGTCTTAGTTCGAAACAAATGGGTTATAAATGGGTTTCTGCTTTTAACCGAACCAGTAAAGGTGAAAATAATTTTCCTGGGAAAATTGCTTCATGTGTGTTAGCTGTTTCGACATGCTAACGGTTTCTCATCCCGTCCCGATTGGATTTACGACGGAAGTGTTTACAAAACTACAAAGTTGCGGAGTTTACAATTATCAATTAAAAGTTGGCTGCAGAGTCGGGGGAGGCAACAAATTTTTCGGTTTCGTTCTACGTTTATGTCAGGTCTGTGTAAAATTATAATTTTTATTCAAAACGTAGTGGAATTTTTCGGTGAATTAATGGCAAAAACGCCACTAAATGAAAATTGTAAATATTTACAAGTACGTTGGGACTGTTTACTGGATTCTTTTTGTGCTCGCTTTTACAATATTTACTTTCCATATTATGGTGTTTGTCGCATAAAAGTTGGCTATTTTGTCAAGAATTTTACGGCTCACTTACAACAAATTACGCCTAAATGTGTTAAACGTTTCGCCGTAACAACCATCTAACTTTCGTTTAATAGTGAAAAACGCGCCGAAAATTAGCAACCGTTTCGGTCCGATTAAACCGACGCACTCTGTATGTTTGCCGTGCTACTAATTTAGCTCATCGAGCACCACTTCGGCAAAACCGATGGCTTTCGCAGCACCCCTAATGGAGGCAATTTCTCCACCGTTATCATTCACTCGAGCCGCCATATAAAATTTAAAAAACAAAAACCCCTGACATTATGAAAAATTTCAACTCCACGGCCGGCACGTTCAGCCGTTAAACGAGATTTCACGAGTTCGAATCTGCGCCGTGACGGGAATTTTTTCGCTAATATTTTCCCCTCGATTTCGTCTTTCATCATTTTTTGTTAGATTAGAATTGTGTCGGAATAAGTAATACAAACATGAACGTCGCCGCCGTTCGACTTCGATCGAGCTGTCGATAATTAGAGGTTTTTGTTCTAGGAAAAAAACTCATGATGGTAGGGAACGTTAAGCTAATAATGGGTTCGAGAATAGCTTAGCAAAAAATCTATAAAAACTATTGATTTTGTGTTGTGCGGGTGGTAATACGGTAAGTGAAAATCGAAGTTGAAGTGGACTTGGTAACAAACAACGCGTTTGTCCTTCGGTTAACCTTATCAGCCTGTAAGGCTTCCACGTTTTAAAAGTGTTTGATAACACCAACAGAATACGAAATAAAGTATGAGTAATGTTTAAGTTTCACGGCGCGGTTTATGTCGAAAGAGAATGGTTCAAAAGTAAAACGGTTGTAAGTTAGGTTTTAATGGGCCATTGTGACTGCACGCCTGATTTAGAACCACATTTACCTATACCCAGCCAGGAAGTAATTGTGCTCAACTTTTAGGGACTTTGTTCGTGCCCCAAATCCAAAAATCAGTGTCCTGAACCCGATTTTTTGGGCTTTTCCAGGCTTTTCCACAAGTTTACGGCCTCATAACTCCGGAATGGTACATCATATAGTGTTAAACTTAATACCATTTTATTCCCTAGACGTTTTTAGTCGCGTTAGTTGATTTTCAAACCAAAAACGGCATTGGTTAGGGTTTTGGGCGACCATGAATCGAACGATGCCATTTTCCGGAAAGCTGTGCTTTGGAAAAAATCGAAAACAATTTAGAAAGTTTCGTAAGGCACTTTCT